CTCCGTCTCTGCTTCCTCCGCGCGCTGGCGCTGGCGCTTCGCGGATGCTTCCGCCTCCTGTCTGTGCCATTTCCTCATGAACCATGCCGCCCCGTCCTCGATCTTGTCGTACCACGCCTCCTGGTCCTTGGCGCTCTCTTTCCATCTCCCCCCCTCCTTCTCCTCTTTCATGCCAAACGCCACGAGGTCCTCTCCTAGGCGATACACCCAGTCGCTCTCCTGCCCGCCCCGGTATCCGGTACCCCCCGCCATCGCTCCCAGCAGCATGCGCTTGGGGAGGCGGTTGTCCTCCATGCGCATAACGAAGCCCGCAAAACAGTGTGTCTTGGGGTGGGTCACCCACCGTACCGTCTGCGACCCATTTGCCTACATGCAGGAGATGAGGCAGCAAGATGTACCACAATTCCGTCTCCGCTCCGCGCAACTTTGGTTCCATTGTTGCTTTTGGACCTGTAGCATATCGGGGAGGCAATGAGGCGCTGGTCAGTCAGCGTGTGTCTGGAACTCTGTGCGCGAGATCCGCAAATCTGTTTTTATCGTCTTGAAGGCCGCCGGATAGATCGTCGATTTGGACATCTGGTAGGTACGCAGGCAGAAGGACTGCCTGCATTGCCAACGGTGGCCCTGTCTACTTACGCGCCAGAACTCCATGAAGCACTCACTGCAGGACGAGTCGTGCGGTCGATGCCGCCTACCGTATGGTCTCCTCCACACGAATGATGTGTTGGCAAGCCAGCGTCGCCCTTTCGCGTGATGAGTGATTGGGGGCAAGGAACCCAGCCAGTAACGATAGGTTCTAATGCATCGGTCATCTCACCAGGACCTGAACAGAGCTCTTATCGCCGATGCCTATCCTACCAGACGAAAACGAGCGACATGTGCAGCAGGGGTGAAGAGTTTTGAGAAAAATTTGATTACGCGTCACGCTGTAGAACTTTCTAAAAGGTTGTAATTGGAGTCACGGCGCGTGATTCTCGCATTTCCCTGCTTTGGAACTACGGCACTACGGCCGTGTTCGGTTTGGTCTGCTACTTGGCCATCCGCATGGTGAACCAAGGTGTGATCGCTTGCCCTCGAGTGGATGGTGCCGTCTCTCGCTTGAGATTACTTCCAGCCACAGGTCTGAGTAGCAATACACGGTACTTCTACATCACACCCGTTTGCGGTGGCCAAGCACGCTCACCCCAGCAACGTTAACCTGCAACACAAAACACCTGCAACAATGCCTGTAGAGATTTCGGTTCTTGTCGCCCTGATCTATGAGACGAGCAGCGGCGTCATCGATCGGTGCAAGGTAGCCAGGCAGTGCTCGCGAGAGGCAGCACGCATCGCACTACGGACACTCAACATCTTGGGACTGCTAGGGGCTTCTGTCAGGGGATGCGCGGGCGGGTTCGTGCTCGAAAGAAAGCTAATAGAGCTCCGTTGGGCGTTGGACGGGATCGAACAGCTTGTCGAGCTCTGTAAACAGCCTGTGCGCTTCTCGGCAACGACGCTCCGCGCTTGTCGCACGAGGGCTACGAAGGAGGCCCTTCGTGGTGCTGAGGTGGATCTGCAACGGATAACGGCTGACTTGAGGCTCCCGCTACTCGCGGAGATCAAGCTTCAGCTGGACGAGATTGCCAACGAAACCGCCGTGGACTCGGTGCGGTCTACAGCTGGCAATCATCGTGACACATCATCGCCTGTGCTGCCGGAGGGCGGCGCGGAGGAAGACACTTTGGCCCAGGACAAAGCCAGGGACGCGATCGAGCGAGGGATGAAGGCGCGAACAAACGAAAGTACCGGCGGCGCCTCCGTAGAAGAAGTTATACTCGACGAGCTTCTGGCCCTGTCGCCGCCACCTCCTGCGTTCAGTCCGCTCTCACAAGCGGCGGGGGGATCCGTCTCGGGCAATGTGGATGGTATCGGGCCAACCTCCCGACGAATAGGTCGTAACGTTGGGAATCTTCTTGAGCTGAAACGGGTCCGGTTCGAAGGCCTCGTCGAGGCGGTCCATCTAGGGCAGGGAACCTTCGGCGAGGTCGTGGCTGGGAAGTATTTCGGCAGAGCCGTAGCCATCAAGAAGGCGCGGGCTACTGTCACGGCGGTCCAGACACTCGAGGGGTTCAGGTACGTGTAGTGTATGAACTCGCCGTGCGCGGTGGACGATTCTTGTTTTCGAAACTCAACAGATTATGATGTCGGACAAGAGGTACGTTACAGCCCGATGTGCTATCTGCCTCTCTCTCTCTCCCTGTCTCTCTCTCTCTGGAATCTTGGTGTATGCCGAATTGATATTTTTCGTGTGTTGCCCAGAGCTGTGCTAGCAAGAAGAATCGCAAATATGCGCACAAGCCCGTTTGAGCTGCACGAACGAGTCGAACAACAAAGACATCAATGAGGGAGAGATCTCGCGTCTCCTTAACACAAACAAACATGAAAAAGGAAATATTTTGAGAATGGTCGTTTTTCCCCCCACCAACCCATGATCGCTCAGGAAAGAGGCGGAGATGCAGTTCGTCATGCAACACGACAACATCGTAGAATTGTTGGCGTTTAGCCTCGGTGATGCTCTGCGCTCCCCTTGCCTGGTAATGGAACGAATGCAAGAGTCACTGTTCGGGCTGCTCAGCCAAACACTCACCATCGGCTTCCCGGCAGCTCTAGGTATCGTCCTCGACGTGTGCAAGGTGAGAGTGATTTGGCAAAATATGGACCTATCTTCATCAACGTTCGAGGAAGCTGTTCGCTGTAGCGATGTGACACGAAAACCAGTGTAGGAATTCGCTTTTTTCGTACAGTGCCGGCCCGCTCCTAATCAACTACTTTCACTATTTTGAGCGAGACTTAAAAACCAACTTGTCCCCACCACCGAGCAAAGGCTTCTATACCACACGGGAATTCATGTAGGGCCGGACGCTAAGTGAAGTTTCTTGGGGAGTTTTTCTGAAGTTTGTCCAAAATCTGATCCTCGGTTTCTTACCAACATAAGTCTGAACGAGCGGGCTGGCACTCTGAATGCCGAATTTTATAATGCAGTCAATCATGTTCATCGATTTCTCCGGCAGGCCCCCGTGAACGAAACTAGAGTTTGAGACGGGGGCCGTGGGTGCTCCCGAAACAAGTCCAACATCTGAGCGTTGAAAACAGCCGCGTCGTCCGAAAAAACAATGTAGTGTCACGTTGGTTAGAGTTCGTCCTTCGTTTCCTTAGTCTCCCTGGTCGTACCTCGCGTGTTCTTGCCAGTCGCTTTGTTCTTCGTCGCAATATTTGTTGGATTCCGGCCGCTCACGTATACGGGCCAAGATAAACCTTGGCTGGTCTGGTTTGCGTCACACCAAACTCTGAGTGCTTCCATCTGTAATAGCATCCGATTCGCGAAGGCACTGCACACTTGCACGCAGCATTGGTAATGTCCAAGTGTCTGCAGACTTCGCGCGTTTTTCTTCGTTCCCTTCGTTCATCATCCCTCTCCTTGCCGAGCCTTCGCTACAGAATACTTCGAGATTTTTTCAACAGCTTGCGGGCTGTTGCATTCCCACCAGCTTGCATGTTCCACATCTGGCCACCTCGCTTGGTTCATCCGTCTTTTCCCGCCTTTCCGTGGCTTTGTTGCTGCTGGTTTTTGCCGAAGAAAGGCCTTGGAGTTTCTCCACGACTACGGCATGGTGCACAGAAACGTCAAGAGCCCGAACGTACTGCTGGACTCCAAGGGGAAAGCAAAACTCTCAGATGTCAACCTCGCGCACATCAGCGAGACTATGAACGCAAACACCGGGGGTGGCTACCATACCAAGGTGACTTGCTGTTTCCTGTGCGATTCCATCATGTTCTTTATTGGTGTTAGAGACGTTCATGACGGACAGGGGTGTTGCTTGGAATCGGATTGAGTCCAACGCACAGCTCGTTCCCGAACCAATACGTAAGTGTGCCATGCGGTATGCCTGGCGATCTAGGGGACAAATCGTTCGGTCGAAGCACCACATAACGTAATCAGAGGCGAGTATAGAACCAGTTGTCACACACTCTCTCGTGGCAGGCGTTTTCCCGCCAATACACATGTCGCTGTGATGCCATCAGCTCTCCAACCCCCCAAGTCAGGAGAGCGACAGAACGGACGCATCTTGCATAGCCTACTCTAGAATTGTTTCGCCTTCTGTTGAAACATCTTACACGTGTGTTTAGCAGTTCGTGCGCCTTCCGTCCCTCTCGGCGCGCTCTTTCAAAGGTGGGGTCGCGGTACTGGATGGCACCCGAAGTTTACACACACAAAATCGTCTCAGCCCCTGCGGATGTCTTCAGCCTGCACGTGGTCATGTGGGAGATGAATGAGGTTCAAGGGAGCGGGTTTTAACGTCGTCTGTTTAGCGAGCGTCGTATCTTGCTCTGGAGATATTGTTCGGTTCACATCGCGTCACGTTTTTTCTTGGAGCAGTCGGTGCTCCTCCAACGTGTCGCGTGGTATTCGCAAGGTACAGTGTTGCCAGCCGGGGCAGGCTTGCCACCAAGATCGCCACACACAGACCAACGACATACCTCGGCCCACGCGCGCGAACGTGGCCTAGAAATGTTCGGCAAGTTCTTGGAAGCAGCCGTTCCAAACCGGACGGGGTGCTCCTGTGAATCAAGCTGATCCTTGGCCCACGGGGTGACGCGCATCGAGGAACGCATGGTACCGAACAGGGAGCACATCCAGGTCACGCAGACCCAGAAAATGAATCTTCAACGCAGACGGTGGCCTCTGGAACATCCACCACTGATCCTCCTCTTTCGCCCGCAGCTGCTTTCTACGACGGCGGTTGACTGAACATGGCATCCAGAACATGCACTATCAACCCTCTCTCTCGCGTGCAGCTACGCACTATGACGGTATCATCATGACCACCTGGTTGACAAGAACATGGCACCCAGCAGTCTTGTTTCGCGCGGTGCTCCTGCGAAAAGAAGAGAGGCGTCAACTTAAGAACGCCAACAACCTCGCGTGTTATCTTCCAGCAGGTTGTAACGAACAACCACAGTTGGGTCGGCCCTCCGATTGGAGAGCTCCTGCTGCGTGCCCCGGACGCGAGGCTCTCCCTCGACGGCTCTTCCTCCGGCCCCGCCCCGCTCATGCTGCGCATGCAGCGCCTGCTCTACCGGTGTGGTTCCGCCCTCAGCCGGGAACGGCCAACCATGAAGGAGATCACTCCCGAGATAGCGACCCTGTGCGGACTCGCCTCCGCAACGGGGAGCACCGCCACTCGCGGGAAGATTTGGACAGCGGCGGTAGAGGAGCAGCCTCGGCAGCAGGAGACCCAGAAGCAGGCTGAAGCGGGCGCCGTTGTTGCCATTCCAGGAGCTCTGGGAGCGGCGCCCGCCACAGCTGTGGCGGCTTCTTCGGCAGCCCGAAACGGGGCCTGGACAGAAAGGGGATCAACCGGGAGTGGGAGCTGGCGTGAGAAGGCGGAGGACACGCCGAAGGTGGCTCTGTTGTCGCCGTACTTGTTTCCCGTGCGACGGAAGCAGGCCAGGTTTTCGGCAGCGGCGGCAGCGGCGGCAGCGGCGGCTCGGGGGGGGGACGTCCCGCCGGTCGGATATCAGGCACACGATAGAGAGCAGCAGTCCCGGAGGAGCGGGCACCAATCGGTCTCGAGTGCGGCCGGATTCGACGGCAGTGGCCGCGCCGCCGTTCCGGAGACAGAAGAAGGGATTTCTCACACGGCAATCGATTGGAGGCACCACCCCGCCGCCGCCGCCCCCGCCCCCGCCGCCGCCGCCGCCTTCACCTCCAACACTGCCAGGCAAGAAGGCCTTCCAGATTGCGACAGAAGCAGACGTGCAACTGCATCTTGCTCAAGCGGAGAAGGCGATGACAGCGCCTCTGGCGGCAGCGCGGGAAGGCCGGGATTCGTGCTGCGGGAGTGGCTGTCGAAAAAGCCGCCACCGGTGCGCTTCCCTCCAGCAGGAGGTGCCAACTCCGCCTACAGTATACTGGCCACCAGCGGAGGTGGTTTCCAACGCCAATACACGACCGGAGTCGAGGGCACCGACGGGAACGCAGTGACAACCAAGAGCGCTCTCGCTGGTCCTGCCGTTTTCTTCGGGCCCGCTCGGTACGTTTATGGCGAGGAGACGGACGGCAGCGATTGCGATACCGACGCAGGATCCGCCTTCGGTGATGGTGGTAGTGAAGTGGTGGACCGCGGGGGGGCTGCTGCAGCCGTAGCAGGTCGGGGGGGATCCGAGACAGCGCCGGGCGACGATGTTGCGCAATGGAAGCATGTGCTGTTGTCCGACGCGGCGGCGGAGGACATGTGGGGGATACAGATCCAGGACAGCGGCAACAAGGGAGGGGGTATGTGGGCACACAGGGAGACAGACGCACGTGTTGGGGGAGAACAACAGCATGGGCAGCGGGAGGAGCCGGGGTTAGAAGGGGGGTTAGAGGAGGGGGATGTAGAGGAGGAAATAGAAGCAGAGGAGGAGGAAAGGAATATTATGACCGGGCACAAAGTCATGGCTCCACCACCCGTAGCAGAACCGAACAAGCGGGGAAAGCACGACCGGGCCATTCTGATGGAGCTGTTTGACCGGTGCCACGGCCCCGCGTGGGTCGGCAGCGCCAACTGGGGCTCCGAGGAGCCGCTGTCGTCGTGGTACAACGTCGCCGTGGACAGGGGGGGGCACGTCCAGAGGCTAACTCTATCCAGAAACAAGCTCTCCGGTGAGGACGTTAGCCCCGCCTGGGCACTAGCTTACGACCATTAAAACTCTTCCAGTTCGTATGCTGAGACACTGTCGGTGATTGAAGTTTCAAACCCTTCGGATGCCGCACAACAAGTATTCATGTTTCCCAGACGCCCTGCTTCCCCCATCCTTCCGAAAGCGATTTGACGGTGCCGCAAAACTCTTGTTTACGACCCGAAGCATTGCTCCAACACATGACCCTTGCGTACACAATAGGATTGTCCCACAGCGACAGCCGACTGGGTTGTTGTGACCCACCCCTGCATCGAAGCATACCCACCCTGCTCAAGGCCCGGCCCACCTTTGCTTCCCACGTAATCTTACGGAATCGAGAGGGCGCGATCTGGCAATTGAACATCAAAATGGGCTTTAGGCGTAGGCGTTGGAATCCTTTTTAGCATGGAATTTTGTTTTATTGTATACCGCGCGGCTTCGATCGTTGTGAGCAGGGGAAATCCCGTCGGGACTGGGAATGCTAGCCTTCCTCCGAGATCTACATCTTCACCGCAACTCGCTCAGAGGTGAGTGTGGCCACCGGGACGGCCAAAGTCTCCATCTCGAGAATCAATGTTCCCCCCCTTCCACTTGCGTAGGTTTTGACGGCGTCGTCGCCGCGGACGTTTGGCGGTGTCTCTTGTTTTATTCATGCCATTGGTGACCGACAAAGGCTTTGTTTCGGACGTTCAAAACAGCGTGTTAGCACAGAAACCAGGGGTAAACGATGAGCATAATAATAAGCGAAAAGGAAGAGAGCTGTCCGTACTCCCACCGAGTTCCTTGGTCACAAGCGCTCAACAAGTCCGCAACGACGCAGGAAGCATCCCTCCGTTCATCGGAGGCTTGAGCTCGCTCACCTATCTGGACCTCCACGGCAACAACCTCCGCGGTGAGTTAAAAGCCACGGAGAGGGGGCCTCGCCGCCTCGCCAACGAAACATGTCTGGCCGGAATCCAACAGTCCAGGCTCACGAAAAGGTACCCTTCTATGCCAGCTTTGTTTTGTTCTCCAGATGGCGAACAGCAGCCCCCGGGAGGCGATCAGTTGCTACACGCACGACCCTTTTGTCCTGCTTCCCACGTTTATCCCTTTCCTACCACTCCACGCCGACGCTGTTCTCGCTACTCGAAGGTCGAATTCCGAAAGAAATAGGAAACCTCCCGCTGCTGGAAAGCCTGCTCCTCGCCCAAAACAAACTCTCAGGTGAGCCGAATGTCTTCTTCCCAGGACTTGAGGCTAGTCTTCCAGCGAGGCGAAAGGCAACCCACGGGGGGCCGGCGACGGTGTGCTTCGCATACATTGTGGGGCCCCGGAGTTATTTTCGATTGGTAGACCTGGTGCGAAGGGGACAAGACATACATACGTACGTGTCGAATGTGTGAATGCTCGCTTGCCTGGATGCCTCACCTAGAAGTAGGAGACCAGCTCCATCGCTGCCGATTTTTGTCGCAGCACGCTGTCGTGCGCTGGACGTTTTCTTCTTTCGTGTGGTTCTTCGCTGTACGCTTGTTTTGTCTACACCCTCCGTCGCTGCACAGGCCCTATCCCAGCGGAGATGGGAAATCTCAGCCGCATTCGGTTCATCTCCTTGCAGAAGAACCAACTCGCAGGTGAGGCAGGAAAATGAGGACGTTGTCGGTCTCGCGCTGAAATGTCTCCCCCACCCCACGTAGGTTTCCTGGGCACGTAACGCTTTATTTGCAACAACCACGTGATGCGCGTAGGAGTTTATTCCTTCGCGAAGCTGCAGTTCTGCAGCCGAAACAAAAGTATCAGAAAGAAGTCTGAGGCATGCTCCTACTTGTCGACCTTGGCCACACATACACGCCCCTACGCTTGGCTGCGGATGAATGTGCGTTCAGGGAAGATACCTCGTCAGCTTGGAAAGCTCGCCGCACTGCAGAGCCTTGATCTCAGCTTCAACGCCCTTGAAGGTGATGGGGTGCTAAATAATCGTCGCTGACCGGGGCTCGTGCATCGCGAACAATTATTATCTGTTTCGTTGACGCCATTGATGGACGCTGTGGTCCTTACTGGAAGTTTTCCTCGTGCTGATGGGCCATCTTCTCGTGTATTTCTTTGCCGGTGTGATTCCCGGCGCTTTTTTTGTCTCCACGTGGTGGATGGTACTTTCTGCTGCAGCAGTAGAAACAAACCCTCGGCTTCTTTTTCCCTACTGTACCGCGCCACTTTTTTACTTTCGTACGTGGTATTCCTCGACGAGAGGAGGGTAGAAACGATCGTCCGTCAGTCGCGTCTGGGAGGCCCCTTACCGAGAGCCGCCCACCCAATCGTGCTCATTGTCTGGCTTCGCCACAGCTTCCACCGCTACGGCTGCAAATGTGTTTCGCGAAAAACGCCACCGTCGTAGGGGGAAACTCTCGTTAACCACGCCACGCCTCAACCACCGTTGTTAGGTCGATCGTATACCTTTGGGAGAGCCAACTACCCTGCATCTCGGGCTGTTCGAATTCAGTGTTTCAAAACTTCAGCGCAAAATGGATAACTCTATCACGCCGACCATGTTCAACCGACGGAAAACAAACGTTGGTGGCAGGCTCCATACCGACCGAATTCGGAGCCCTTCGAGCGCTAACAGAGCTGACGGTTGGAGGGAACCGGCTTACAGGTAATCACGTCCATTCGGAGCGCCCTGGAACCATGGGCGTCGGAAGGGAGGGATGCAAATCAACGTTGTCTTTCTTGGGGGGATATTCGGAAGTCGGCGTTACCACCAATGTAGCCTGTTTTCGACGACAATGGTGAAATCCAACCACACTCCGAGGTGTTCCTCCGTTTTTTCGTCGAGGCAATCTCATCCGAGTACCAGTATTCGGAGAAGAACCTTGTCCGAGTGTATTCAAACCCACGCCTTCAAAATGCCCGAGAGTTGGCAACAGCTCTGCAGTCAGTAGTACGTGAACACCAATTTGTCTGGGCGCCGCGAGCTTTTGAATGCTCATAGCAGCTCACCCAAGTCGTCTAGGCGCCGTAAGCTGTTGGGCGCTCCAAGCACATCATCACGCATGCTGCATGATAAACCGCGTACCGCGCCCTGCCCTTATGCTCAGGTGCAATCCCTCCCGAGCTTGGCAACCTCTCCAAGTTGGTGTTGCTGGAGCTATACGACAACCAGCTCTCCGGTAAGCAACTCGACGCCTGACACCCGTCCCGACGGGTAGCAACACTGGAAAGAAGGACTATCGTCTTAAGAAAAGGATTGTTTTGTCGACCTGAGGGCCGGAATGCTTGCCTTCGTGCTGCACGACCGAACGCCATGACCCACCGCTTGATTACGCGCATCTGGATGTTGTGCTACTCTCGTCGGCATTCACCCCCGGCTTTTCGAGGCAGGAAGCATTCCCGCAGAACTGGGAAACCTGACGCTTCTGGAGCACCTGGCTTTAGCCGAAAACGACCTACAAGGTGAGAGTCGGTCGTGTGCGCTGAGGTCTAACACAAAAGGATTGCATGCCATTGTGTTTTGCGATTGTTGGTCCTGTATTACAGTAGTGGCCGTCTGAAGACATGTTTGAGGAACCTAGAGGTTGGTTCTTGGTGTTGTCAATTGTGAACTTCTGGGAAACGGAAAGAGATTACGCGTTCAGAACTAGCCCAGGATCGAGTGTTGAGGATCGGACAGATACGCACACATGATGCATGATCTCTTGCCGCCTTCTGACGTATATTCCTTGAAGGATGCATCCAGAAATTGCCCACCCAAACGTGCTCGATGTACGAGAAAAACGCTTGGTGTCACCCTTTGCGAGCTCGCGATGGTTCAGACGACAAATCATTCATATCCCTTTTCCCAATGGTGCCTCGACCATTGCTACAGCACAGAGGGAGATAGATGCCAGTGAAAGTATTGGTATGGTGTTCGTTTGGATTGTGAGAATTTCCGCGAAATCGGCCCCGAGTTCACGAGTTCACACGGTGCACGCCTCGTGACGCTCGTGTCGTACCTGCGTTGGGACCTTTCTTCTTGAAACCGCCACCCTACGAACCCGGACCCGTTCCGTCCTCGAAAACAGGTCCTTCGTTAGAGTTTCGAACTGTTGCGTCCCCCGCAGCAACACACAACTCGTAGCAGACAGCAGTGTCGGCATCTATCCACCGCCGGCGGAGGAAATATGCGGTGGAGCCTGATCCAGCACCACCCACACAGAGGTGCCTACTGGAACACGGGGGAGGCTGTGGTCGGTTTTTAGCAGCCGTACATCGGCAATGTAGTTGGGCCTGTACTCGACACTTACCGGGTGAGAATTGTACGGCTAACAGACTGTCGAGGAACGCGAATTTGGTCCACGATTCGCACGGGAAGCTCATCCTACTGGGCCGGGCCTCATCCACTTTTTTTTACTGTAGGGGATGGGCGTTGGAGCGATGAAAGTGGTGAACCCTGCAAAGCCATCGGAATAGCTACCTATCCAGCACGCTTCCCGGCTAAGATAGCTTTCCTGTTGGCTTTCCCCAACACAGGTTTTCCTCGAACATGGGACGGCCAGCGTGTACGAACGGCAACGGAGGGTCTGCTCTCACTGGTTCACAAGTGGACGCCACAAGTTAATGTCATGTAGAGAGGTGAAAATAATGCATCGTGATCCAAGTTTAGACACCCGGCGTCCTTGTCCTGCCGGTTCCTCGGTCTGGTGGAGGAGTTTGCTCCGCCCTCAGAAATCGTTCTACTTCAAAGAGGCTGAAAGGGGCCTCTGCTATTGGCTTTGAAGAGAATGCTGTAGTGGACCATGGGATCCATTCTGAAGATCTACATTAAACCCCACGAGTAGACTAGACGAAAACGGAGACTGGAAAACGTGTGTCGTCTACGACGTTCGATTTCGGGTAACGTAGCTGTGCGGTACCATTGCTGTTGCATAGCTCCCAAGTGGTATGCCCTGTATTATTTGGAGGTAACGTACTGAGAATTGAATTGATTCAAGTAGAGGAATTGAATTTTCATGTGATTTGCGAGAACTTGATTTGATTTATCGAAACGACGCTCGCTCATCATGTTGGTGCATATCATGAAATAGTAGTGAACAGGAGGCCTTCACCCGAGAAATAGGACGCATGATGATGTTATCCATGACACGGATTGTACACATGAGACAACAAAATTTGGGTGGGAACCTAGGGCGTTGAGTGCATTCCCGAACGGATTTGCGACTCCGAAAGGTGCAGGCGTGAGCGAAAATTTCGAGGAAGAAACGGAGTGTTCCGCATAGGGTTGTGAAGGCATGTAAAATAATGCACAGAGGCAGCCAGGAAACCTGCTTGGCGGAACTTGCGTCTCTCACACACATCATGCAGACCATCTAGTACGCGCGTCAGGCCATGAGGCGGCCAGTACCACGTAACGCTGAAAAGATGGAATGTTCTGCGAAACATACAGAACAGGTGGGAGCGACCCGGATGAAGGTCTACAAGTACCGGTCCGATCCTAAGGGAGGGCCGAACAACAAACCGCATTCGGAGACCGGGCTGCATGATGTGTGATTCTTTGCGCTGCCACGCGCGCTAGTGGTAACGAATTTGAGCGTGGGAACTTTCGCGTTGGCATATCCGCGAAGCCCGGTTTAGTAAACTTGTCGCCTGAAGGCCTCGATGAGTACAGCTAGCGTGCATACATCATGAGCATGGACAGGGTGCGTATCTTACTAGCTGGAGAGGGCGATTAAGCTCGCATGAGATATTGCAGGCTGAATATACATGAACGCCTTTGCCTGATTCTTGCACCAAACTCAATTCACGGTCAATCTCAGGGATCGCCACGTTGGCGTCAACGCGAGCCAAGCCCGCTCAACTTCTTGAGAGACACTTGCAAGATGAGAAAAAATACTCCATGAGCATTCCGAGCAACTCCGTTCCATGTGGTGCCCCGTCCTCCTCCTGCTCCTCCTCTCTCTCTCTCTCTCTCTCTCTCTCTCTCTCTCTCTCATTTTCTCTCTTGCTCTCTCGTTTTCTCTCTCATTTTCTCTCTCACTATCTACGTGTGTAGACTATAGTCTATCTCTCTCCCTCCCTCCCTCCCTCCCGCTCTCCCTCTCGTTCTCATACTTGTACCATTGGTTGATATTTGTCAGAAGTCATCAGTGCGCCCCAGATGGGAGCTCTCCACTGGGGCGGGTCCTCTCGCCGCCATCCCCCCGTGGTCTCCGCTTCGTCTTCCCTTTCGCCAGCCCTGCCAGCATGGCATCTGCCCATGGTTGTTCCAGGGGAGCAATAAATAGTATGCTGACGTCCTCGTCCGACCACTCGGAACGCGGACGAAGCCGGCACTCGATGCACCGTGCTTGTCGCAGTGAGTCGGATGCTCGCCGTTTAACCCCCACCTTACCGTTCTGCAGCATCCTTTCACGCCTTTTGACTTGCATTTCCGTCCATAGTCCATCACAAGCCTGTCTGTAAGATAGCCTTTTTTGTGCTTGGCGCAGAACGCACCTTTCCCATCTGCCCAAGTACTCCACTTCGGATGAGTTGCGGAACATCCAGCATAGGCGCAACGCTCGCTCTGCGCGTTCACCATGGACCCCTCGGCATGCTGTCTGCAGTATGCTCCCGTCTGGCTGCCGGCGTGGTTGAAACTCGGCCGCTTCTTGCCCTCTTCAGCGTGGGCGCAACGCCTGGACACCAATTTATTTATCATGGAGTCGTCGGCATGTCGTCTGCAGTACAAAGCGCCCATCCTGCTTCCGTGGTGAAACGACGCCCGGGTCGTGCATTTCAAGGCCCAACAAGTAGTAGGCCTTTATTTGTGCCCACCACCGGCGCAATCACCGTAACAGAGTGTACGTACGGACGATGACGCACCCCGTCTTTGCCCTGTGCGAGTTCGAAAAGTAAGGGGTGGGATCGTATGAGGCCGTTTTTTGCGGTTTGAAAAATTCTAGTTGAATATTGAAATTTTTCAATTCCCAGCCGAACAGAGCTTCTTACGGTGTGGAAAATCGATTTTTTTGAGAAATAAATTTTCAACTCGGGCTAACAAAAATTGGAAACGCTCTTGTTGACAAATTCAGAAGTTTTCAAGTCGCGACCGAGTTGAAAAAGCTAGGTGGAAATCCAAACCTAGGGGGGGGGGGGCATCACACAGACCCCCCCCCACCACACCTGCTTTATTTGGTCGCTGGAAGCACCCGACAGTGTGCACAACAGCGCACCACAAAGCAGCACAGCACAGCACAGCACAGCGCGTGACAGCCTAGCACAGCGCCTCACACGCGCAGACCCGGTGCTTTGTTGTCAGCGCGGTGCGCCCGATATGGGGACCGGCGACGATCTGTTGGAAGCAACAGTGCTGTCATTCGCGTTGGCGGCTTTGCACCAGATCCAAGAGGAGGATGGTCGCCGGCGCACAGCACGCTCGGTATCCTATTGGGATGCTGTGCTGTTCGACGAGGATTCGGAGGACGAGGAGGAAGTCGTCGGCCCGAAGGTAAAGAGGACACGACGCGTCACGCAGCGGAGGGATTGGCGTACCTCTGCCTGGTGGGAGCAGCAGCAGCGCATCGGAGTAGTAGTTGTTTGCGCCTTGCAGCAGCAGTGGTTCCACTAGCGGCATGATGTTGCGTGGTTTGACTAGCGGCATGGTGTTGCGTCGTCTGGCGGGAGTGTAATTGTGAACCCCCCCCCCTGTTTTGAGCGTTTCATTTCCGTCGATCCGTAAGAAGGCTGCTCTAGTTTTGTGTGAGATTATCCGAGTTGAATCTGGGAATTGAAAATTTCAATTTTTCAACTGAAATTTTTCAACTCGTAAGAAACCGCCGGAGTTGCGTTCCCAAGACGAAGTACGAATTGCCGGAAAGACGAGATACGAACATGGACCGTTCATGCTACACGCAGAAGAATAGCAACTGACGGGCACCCAGAAAGCGATACCATAAAGTAGTGGTCAAGACCGTATCCAAACATGTTTAAAGCGTTCTCGGAAGTCACGCACGCAGAGCGGGGTAACTGGGCCCACGGTACTCTCATGTGACGATGGTAACCGAGTCCGTTGGTCACTTCCAATTGTTAACCGTTGATGTAGTGTCTGTTATGAGATCCGTATGAAGTATATTTGGTTGTGAGGCTTGGAAGTGCAAAGCGTACATGTATTGTCTATCTCGCTACAGAATATCTCCTCTCTCTCTCTCTCGCTGGAATCGATAACATTAATCATTCACTACCCCGAGAGGGAAAGGAAGGGATTCATTCATGGTTCTACAAATAATAGAGAGTGCATTTCCGGTGAATCTCAACCCACCGGCGTCAGCAAGCCTTTTCCGAAGAGCTTGCCAGCAACGAGTTCAGTGTTCACTGAACACAAACACTCGACTCACCAAACTTTAATTCGCGCGTAGTGAACATCACAGAGAGTGTCGGTCAGTGAACGATCACGATGTGTTTGTGCGAGAAGTGTACTGTGAAGAAAACTGAGAGCGATCTGGTTCACAAGCTCAAAAGGATTCTTGTGTGAAAAAGGAGTCGGTCTCTGTGTTCTTCACTCATTCACGGGTGCATGCCACTGGAATTATACGAG